CACACTGGTTCAAAACATTATCAGTTTATTATCATTGTACATGTAGGTTTGAGCCACAGATAGTGAGCAACATCCCTTCTTCATCATTCGTCCTGATGGTTGTATTTCCATCACGCAAGACTGCCAAAGGACCTGTTATATGCATGAAATGTTTTGGAAAAAAAGGGAAACTGCAATAATAATAATTCCCTATCAGCTGACACACTACTGAGTAGCTAACATTAGCATTTAGTTTCAAGCTGGCATTTGGCCACAAGGGCCATTACAGAAAAATGCAAACACAATCAGGACTCTCAGTCACATGCCTAATGAATAAAGGCAATACATTGACAAAGGCTAAAAAACATACGCAGCATCCTTGGTTTGCTTCCAAGAATTATGATTTAATGATTTTATTCTTTTGATCATCATAAAGTAGGTAAAGCTTCAACTGCAAAACAAAGTAAAACATGTACATATTTGTGTAAATAATAATATTAGCATCATTGAATTTCAAGCTGAAGGATGAAACTAATTCCCTTTGTTGTGCAAATCACATTTTTTAATTCAAATTTGCTTCTGATGTATTAAAACAGTAGGCCTATTTACTACAGGAGTCCAGTTTTCAAATCTATCTCCACAGCAGATCATTATAGATGTTCTGTTCTTTTCTTTTTGTTCAGTAATAACATTAAAACACAGTCTACGCTAGGAGCTCTGTTGGAACAGTATTGCTTCGAGCTAAATTCAGACATCAGCATGCTAACAAGCAATGCTGATGTCTGAAATGAAAATGAAAATGTTAATGTGCTGATGTTTTGGCAGGTCTGTTTACCATGTTCGCCATATTAGTTTAGCATGTTTTGCATGTAGATTTATACTTTTTATTATTGCCATAAAACAGTGTTGGGGCTAATTGTTTTGGTACAGCATGGTAGCTCAGTTTCACTGCAAAACGAAATACAGAAAAAAAAAAAAACACAGGCGCCATAAACCATTTGATCACAAACCAAAGTGTGTATTTAATGATGGCGATAGATGAAAAGGGATTACCAATTTATTACAATTCATCCTGAGGGTAACATCAATATCAGCACCAAATTTCGTGGCAATCCAGACTGAAAAATCACAATGGTTCATGAGATATTTCAATCTGGACAAAAGTGGTGGACCAGCCAACCTACAGACCATGTTTATTGTCCAGACATTACCATCCAAAGAACTAACATGGCTACAAACACTGCAAAGGGCTCTAATGTCTGCAAATTTGCCGTGCAGTGTCACAATAAAAGATATCATTCTGCAATCTAATGTTTTTATTTATTTATCTTTTGACCAAAGACAGCTCACTCTACTTTTGAGTATTTACTCTCTAAAACTCTAAAAGTCAGAAACCCAAAATAGGTTTGTACTTACTGCACCACTTTTCTCTTGACAATCACCCTTGGTGCTCAGTTACGGTTTTCTTCTACATCTGTTACGTTTTTCTGTGTAACAGCTTCAGATTTTACGCCCTGATGAAATCACAGTGTCCACCAGGCAGCTCTTTTTCAATTAGCGGCTCTCAGCACGCCCATCAACACCCAGCAGTGTGCACCTGAAAATAACAGAGATAATACGTCAAATGGTCCTCACGTTGAACAAAATCCCATTTAAAACACAGCTTGCTGAGTGTGGAATATAATGCTGCAGTAAGGTTAAATTTACAAAACAGAGGACAAAGCAATGAGTGGGTGTCTTCTTTCTGCCCCCCTGAGCCACCAGATGTTGCTGTAGTGCAGGAACAGCCAGCTGAGACTCACAGGGGGCTGATCGGTATCTGGAATAAAAAAGCTGCAAAACAGGTATTTCTTCTTGCACTCTTAAGCATTTTGGAGTTGCAAAGACAAACACATGAAAAGGTTTGACTAATATTAAATATGGCATGACACCATGAAGTTCAGGACAGGTGGTACATCTGGTTCCAGTGAGAAAAATGCAAAGCCAGAAAGGATAAGCTGTTGCCACTTTGGCCAATGACAATTCTCAGCCTGGATTTAGAAAAAAGCATTGGGTTTGTTTCTCCCTCACTAAGAGCTCAGCCATATGTGGAATTTCTCATCTGTGTGTATTTTCAGTATTTACAGGTTTGCTGGATAATAACCACACACGCCCACATAACACTGTCTGTCATCTGTCTGAACATGAACAGTCCTCCTAGTAACGCCCCTCTAACTGTGTCAGCCAGTTCACTGTATATTCACTTGGAATGGGTTGTTCAGATCCATTACTTCAGTAATACCTGAGTGTAAAAATACTATTCAAAATCGTACATAAGCAAAAGTACGAAATTATTATTACAAAAATGTACTTTAAGCTGGAGTGCAGGACTTTTACATATAAATGCCAAACGAATTGACACAATGCTAATTTGGCTTCTCACACCACGTAAATCTCTTAGTATCCAATGTCCGTGCATCCCTATCCGGATACTGGGAAATACAGATATTGGATGCTGGCCCGATACTGATCAGATGGCTGGACTGGGTATCAGTGACAAGCGGGCCAATCTATGGGGGCCAATCTATCTAGCAGTGTGCCGGTAGACCCGGGTATTTGGCTAGGAGAGCTAACATAGCATGTAGGAAGCTAAAAACAAGGGGTCAGCAGTTTGGAGGCATTTCACAATTGATCAAGCCTGATGTTGCCTTACACAGAAAAGAATGATTCCCATTCTTTTCCTCACAAAAAGGAATACTGCTGATTCATTTTACACCGATATCGGATCTGTACTTGGCATTGGCCAATGACCAAAGCCCACCTATTGGTATCGGTACCGAGATTAAATAACTAATACTCTACTACTAGAGTTGTGTTATATACCAACCAGCAATGATTGGTTTGCCAGAGCTGAAGCCGATATGAGTTATAAGCACATATCAACAGTGTTGTGTAATTACTCTCACTGTCAGAAGGGGGAAACAAAAGTTCAGTAATGCAGGTATAAATTTATAAAAATAAGTATTCATTATGTAGAATGGGTCATTTGTTACACTATTGAATTATCATTGTCTTTACATTCATGTGTAAGTAGCAGATTAATGTTCTATGTGGTGAAGATGAAATTTTTTTCACTAGTTTGTACACTGTTTGGTATTTCAATTTATATTAAAGCATCATATATTAAACCCATCATATCTCTTGTATGTAAAATCTTAATCTGCAAAGTGGTTGTTGGATAAATGTAGTGTGGTAAAAATTTCAATAATTGCACCTCTGAATGTACCAGTATAAGTAATAATAAAATATAGCTTCAATTGGAAATCATCAGTTAAAGTACAAGTACCTGCAATTGGATAAACTGTAAAAGATTATGATGGAACATTGAGAGCAGCAGGGGTCAACTGTGTGATTTACGGGAATAACAACTGTTAGATAAAAAGTAATGACTACGATGGTATCAGTATTGGTTGAACAAAGAACGAGTCTCAATCCAATCAGAGGGGATCCATTGTTGTTCACAGATGTTCGAATGTCAAAAGAAAGCTAAAACTACCAATCAAACTGTCTGGTTATGCTTCTCAGGTTTGAAGATTTTCCTGTTTTCTTAGTCTTTGGGTTGGACTTTTGGTTGGCCCAAACATCAACTTTGGCGTTGGAGATTTTTGATGAACATTTTTTATATTTTCTCTGACATTTTATAAAACAAGCAGTTCTGTCAAGAAAACAGTTAATAATGAATAAAATAAATCTTAGCTGCAGCCCTAGTGAAGGATAGATGATCTGTGGAAGATTTAAAATGCCTAAATTAAAACACATCAAACAAAGAAATTTCCCATGAGATGTTAAAATCAGATCACCAGAAAACACGAATAATAAGGTATGTATGTATTAAGGCACCATCATTTTAATTCTTTGTTTGATTGGTTTTAAATTAGGCAATTTAAAAAGGCTGCTTCTGATTTACTGTATTTTTCAACAAACAAAGAAAAGTATTAGTAAACCTAATTCCTGTCCATATTTATTTTGCATTCTTTTAAAGTTGACTTGACTGATTATACAGTATATTATTTACTTATAATTCAAACAAACCAAATGAAAGAAAGGGCTGACAGTGGAAATAAAGCTGTCAGCTGCTCCTGAACTTTCATACAGGTACAGTGTGCAGGAAAGAGGAAATATTCTACTGCAACAAAACCACTTTTAGCTTGTGACAATCATTAACCCTGTAAACACCCTGTTGGTTGAATATCAGACTCCTAAAGGGGTCTCCTGTAGTTGAAATGACACAAAACATAGCTGACAGGAGCATTTCTTAACATATACATCTTCATGACCGTTGGGCTCAGTCGATGACACATTGCCAACTCCTCACAACGTTATCACATCTGATGTCATCGTGATATCTCAAAGCCCCGCCAGGTCCTGACTTGCTCTGGTCGATGGGGCTGACATGGTTGGAATGCCTCGGAGGGAGTGTCTCGCCTTGTTGTCCTAGAAACCGCCTGGCTGTACAACTGTAGCTCCTGTGATGAAACTGTGCACATGGACAAGAGTCGCTTCAAATGTGTCATGACCTGTTCCTCTCCTTCCTCTTTATTGTGTCTTGACCTGAAACTCAGACAGGAGAGGGGGTTTACATTCCACAGCTGCTTGCTTCCTGTTTCAGTTTCAGGCACATTTGAGGGGCCACAAACATCACCAGTTTGAATCAAGGCAATAAATAATCTCCTACATGTGTTTCACTGCTCTCTAATTACTGTAACTCCCTTCCTGTGCTCTCTCAAACTGCACTGTTCTCCAGGATTTTATCATCCCTCCCTCCCTCCCTGCCTCCTAATCCCGTCTCGTTCTTTAGTGGTAGACGGAGAAATCTGGAGAATTCTTTTCAGTGACCACACCAAACTCTCCAGTCACATGTGCTCATTTTCCTTCCCGTCCTTCTCCTAAATAAGGACTTACAATTTGATTGGGGAAAAAGAGAAAGAGCAAGGAGGCGGGTCATAGAGTGAAATAAGAGGACCTGAAGGCGTATCTCTCTCTCTCTCTTTCTTTCTTGCTCCGTTTCTGTTGAATCGGGTGAAGTCATATACATCAGACAGGTTTGCTGGATTTATCTTGGCAGTCCTAGACAGAGCACTCTGCACTGTGTTGTAAGGAAGAAGAAGAGCGGGAAAACAGCAACACAAGCTTAAACCCACCTGTATTCACCTGAAAGCTACTACACAAAGTAAGTCAATACTCCTCTGACTGTTTTTGCTTGGCTTCATGCATCTTTCTCAGTTCTCTGATTTCTCACTAGCAGTCAAAAGATTTCTTTGTTGCTTTGAGCTTGTGGTGAACTATGTGCAGGACCATGAAAAAAAGAGGTGTAACCTATTCTCTCTGTCTCCTTCCCTCGTACTCAGAATAAGACTAAACGCTGAGTCAATGTTTAGTTATTTCTGTGTGGATTAGATGCCTTCTGAATGACCCACTAGTCTTGTAAATTCTTGTGTTTCTTATCTACCTTTGCACTCAGCACTCTTTTGAGGGGCTCACGGCTAAATGTGAGGCCTCACAGCTTCAGAGATTCAGCCTCTTACAAATCTGTCAACAGATAGCCTTTAACATGTAGCCTAATAATATGTAATTTTCTAGTTTAATATGCGCTCTGAACACCACGCTGCTAGGTCAGGATATGGCAGTAAAACTCAGCATGTGTTTGCGTCACATATGTTGTCACAGTTGCTTTGTACTGTGAGATAACTTAGACATTGTGACTTCAGGTGGTTTCTGGGCTGATTTCACTATCTTCAGTGATAAGGTAGAAATACAGCGCTGAATTAACAGTCTGGGTCAGCAGCAGCTGGGACAGGATAAAGGGAAATGTGGCCTTTAACACAGTAAGAAATAATCATGTGAACTAGTTTATCAGTTTAGATTTAGAAGCTTTCAGCACAACCTTTCAGCCTTTTGTAGAGCTCAATGAATCACAGATCAAATTATGAGTCAAGATGGTGTTAAATTGACTCAGGAAGTAACTACTGATGATGCGGTTTTATGCAGCCCTGTTGCAATAACAAGAAAGTTGTGAAATATCTTGGAACGGATGACTTCAAGTTACTATGATATAAAAGTTGAAGAATTTGGGTGGAGCGGTTTATGTGTGTTGCATCTCAGTAAGACCCTTAACACTTAAAATGGCACACAGTAGCTGATCAGTGGGCAAACATAGAGGGGAGTGTTTGCTGAAAGTGGTGCCCAGGTATTAAAGGGTGTCAATGTGTAAAGGTAAAGCAGAGGATTCCTGGAAATGCTCATGTTTCGTTTGTGCCAAAGTAACAAAATTAGTGCACAAACAATGGTAAAAGATAAAATATTTATAAGAGATGGCAGTGTTATTTGTTCTGCAGCTGAGGTGGTCTGCATTGAGGTATACCTTGAAACAAATACTACGTGAAAGTATGTGTCAAACACAGTCACATTACAGAAGCCACAAAGCTAATTTGGTGTGTGGAGACATGTTGAGTGCTGAAGCCCTGAAGTGCACAGAGTAAAGGTCCATTTAGAAAAGATGTAGAATCCTAATCTCATTGTAACACATTTATCACTCCTTTACAAATATATATTGATTGAAAACGAAAATGTGGCTCATGCATGCTCTTTGCCAGAGCATGCATGAGCAATGCAACAACTAATTTATGATATTTATTTTCTATATTTAGTCACAGCAGCAACCTCGGAAGCACACACAGCTGCATATCAACATTCTGGTTTCTGTGGGAGGCTGTGACTCTGATTACAAGATGTTCCCAGTCACTGCAAGGCCGCTCCCAGTTGCTTTATTAAGTGCACAGGACTACATAATCTTCCAAAAAACACACACGACTACACATGTGAATGGCTATTATGCTAGTTTGCTACAACAATCACATTCACAGTAAGATCAGAGCTGCAGAAGGTAGATGTGCTTGAAATGCACAGTGCAGAGCGGCAGTGGCATGACCAAACTTGTGACATCCAATCAGCAATTTACGTGAGTAGTATAGAGATCAAAGTGCAGGTTAGACTAAGTGTTAACCTGAAAGAGTAGACTCTCTGATCGACCCTCATCGTTCCCTTCATGCAGAAATAAGCCCTGATGTTTGCAGCTGCTGGATGCCTCTGTGATTGAGAAAGAGACTGTTCAGGAGTTGATTTCAGTTGAGTTCAAGAGATGTTTAGATATTTACTTCCCCCTTGTGCTTTTGGAATAGCTTAGCGGCCAGGAAGGCGCTTCTCCTCCACACACCCATATAACCACTGCAACCTCAATGAACAATGACAATGAACAACAGACACAAGTGTGATATATGGCAGCTACGGCTCCAGTGTGGAACGGTTAGACACAATGAAGTTTGTCAGACTGATCTGTAAAAACAACAACTTCAGCATGGCGGTTAACACATACCGTCTCATACTTTAATTATTTAACAGGCTTGGAGGAGTTATTTTTTTTCTCAAAGGCCATTACCATGGTGAACAACAGTGTGTTGTTCTGTTTAGCCCTTTGTACACATAACTACCTTTGTCATGGAGAGAGGAAGGAAGTGACAGCTGAATGAGCAAACAGGATGCACAGAGCAGGGCAGTTCTGCTGAAGCCAACAGGAAGCTCATACTGCATTAATAAGTGAGATAGGCTATCCATAATTACTTACAGAGGAGAGCAGAGTTGTAATATTGAAGACATTATTAAGCATTTTCAACTTCCATAGTACAAAATGTCTTTATTAAATAATGACACAGACGTGGTCTGAATAATGGGAAAACAAATAAATCAGGTTGTTTAATAAACTACTAAGTTATTAAAAATGTCATCAAATAATTATTATTAATAAAGAAGAGGAAAAGGCCCATTCAGAAAAGCAGACACACACACGTATACATATTTATACAGCCAGTAGACCAGTTAGCTTAGCTTAGGATAAAGACTGGAAACGGGAAAAAAGCAAGCCTCGGTCTGTCCATAGGTAACAAAACTCACTAATTAACATGCGAGATCTTATTTGCTTAATCCTTACAAAAACCAAAGTGTAAAAGTGGCAATTCACACTTTTAGGGGGATTAGTGAGTGGTATCGTTCTTCTCATCCGAATCTCTGCCAGAAAGCGAATAATTACATTTCCCAAAATGTAGAACAATTCCATGCACCATCAGCACTAGATACCTGTTTTCAACACTTACAACCTCAAGTAACCAAAGTTTGAATAGTAAAACAGCCCCTTGAACAAGAGAGAAGCAATCAAAACTTGCTCACTTTTGAAAAATGTCCTCATTCTGAAACTAATTTGTTCTCTCAAAAGGCAGAACACACAATAGAAACACATTCCTGCACACATAAGGATAAGAGTGGTTAAAATCCTATTTGTTCTGACTGCAGGCCAGGACTGTGGGTGTGGACAGGGCAGGGATTTATATGTTGTTGTATCTATCAAATATACATATTGAAAAGGACACAATACTATCTAACACTGACTTTCCCTCCCAACAGGATCAGCATGGCAAACAAAGGTCCTTCCTATGGTCTGAGCCGTGAGGTACAGAGCAAGATTGATAAGAAATACGACCCGGAACTGGAGGAAAGGTTGGTGGAGTGGATCATCACCCAGTGCGGCTCTGGAGCTGGCCGGCCTAAGCCAGGCAAGACCGAATTCCAAAACTGGCTCAAGGATGGATGTGTGAGTGTTGGGTTTGCACAAGTGTAAATGCAGCATTGTAATTGGCATTGTGTGCAGTATGCTTAGAGGGATCTGCTTCTTCCCCGTGTGTCTAGCTGCTTTGTGAGCTCATCAACAGCCTGTCCGGACCTAACAAGCCGATCAAGACCATCAAGAGTTCCGGCATGGCATTTAAGCAGATGGAACAAATATCCATGTTCCTTAAAGCTGCAGAAAACTATGGAGTCACCAAAACTGACATGTTTCAGACTGTAGACCTCTTTGAAGGTAAGCAACCAGTAGAACTTGTCTGCATTATTACAACAGGGTGTTGTTAATTGTTTTCCAGATATAAGCAAGGAAACAAAGCTGTATTCAGTGGTGGAGAGCAGAGGTCACGGTCTCTTCCTGTACTTTGTGTGTTTGCTCTGTTCATGTGAAATTGTTGCATGTCTACAGGCAAGGATCTGGCTGCTGTCCAGAGGACCCTGATGGCTCTGGGTAGTTTGGCTGTCACAAAGAATGATGGGTGTTACAAAGGAGACCCGAGCTGGTTCCATAAGTAAGTTTGAGTGTTTCACCGCCCCCAATATATGAGCTAGTCTCACTGTAAAAAGAGATTGTGGACTGAGATGTGTGTGTGTTTGCATGGGTGCAGGAAGTCCCAGGAGAACAGGAGAGATTTCTCAGAGGAACAGCTGACCGAAGGCAGAAATGTCATCGGCCTGCAAATGGGCACAAATAAAGGAGCATCTCAAGCTGGAATGACAGGCTACGGACGACCCAGGCAGATCATCAACAATAATCCATGAATCCGAGCAGTGCTTAAACCCTCCTCCAAGACACTCCTTCTGCTGCCCTCTGAAATTTCAGCGAGGACGGAGAAACTCTGACTCTGACTCTACGGCCACGAGGAGAAATGTAACTTGACTGTTTTTAAGACTAAACTGGACCAAAACACGGACCAAACAAGAACATGTGCACATATAGATAACATACTTCATGTTGAGCACACATACCGAACATAAATAGATACCTTTAACAGTACAAGTAAAGAATTAGACGGAGCATTTTAAATTGTAAACTGTAAATATTTTTTATTAAAGGGTCATTCCAGTTGTTTTGCATGTATTAACCCACTACCTAAAAATCAAATTTGTGTTACATTACTGCAAATCATAAGATTTTAGATTGCCTAACCTACAGACCTTGTGAGTTTTCACTTAATTTCAGTTCACTTTAAAAATCAACTTGCAGAGACTTGTAACTTGCTAGAGAGAAGTAATTCATCACATTCAACATTTAGTTTGTTTTATCCTTCAACAGCTGCATAATTGCAGCATGCAGCCAGGAAGTCTCCCTGATGACACATTCAAGGACACTCAGATGTCTGAGACTTTATAATGGATGAACCATCCAATTACCATTATTTATGTTAAACATTGTTTGCTTTTTGGTTATTTGCCAGCATTGCTCTTCTGACAACGTAGAGCTGTCAAGTCTTGGACATTACCACCAAGGAGAGTTTAGAAAATCTTTACATAAACAGAACAAAACAGCTATAATGCAACTTTAACAATAAAATATGATAAAGAGAAAAATGACCTAATTGTTAAATGTGATAGATGGCCCATCTCTAGGGTTTGGGGTAGAGTTAGTTTTAATTTTCATTTATGGTGTACTGGAATTAACTAAAACAAGTGGCAGCCTGGAAGGTAAGAAGTGTAGAGTGATGTGGTTTACATTAATGTTAAGCTCAAAATCTAATAGATTACAGCAAGCAAATCCAAGCAGTCATATGTAATCTGAGAAAGTGAATTGCCTGGTTTAAAAAAAAAAAAAAAGAAATTTTATGAAAAACATAAAATACAGTCATGTGTGTTTTACCTGCTCCGTAATACAATCAGCAGTTAGATACTCCCATCTAACTAATTTCTAATCAAAAATGTTGTTCTTTTTAGAGTTGAATTCATCATATATAATGACGATGGTTTTGAAATAAAGGTCGATTTACATGTAAAGAAGCCTCTTGTGTGATGAATAGATGAACCAAGACAGTGGTAAGCTTTGTGCACATCTACTGATAATACTATTGATGGCACACTGTGCAAACATCACTGTGCTGTGTGTCTTCACAGCCTGGTCGAACCAGGTAAACAGTGAAAGAGATGAACTAATGTACATAGCAACCCATAATAAGCATGTCAGAGTGTCTGCATGTAACTACAGCACAACACCCAGCCTTGTTTGCTTTAAACCTGAGCTGTACTCCACACAGCGATAAGCACATAAAAAAAGGCAATCTGCTCAAAGGTGGGAGGAGAGAGAAAACGATGGGAGTGAGTGATGATGGGTGGGGATAAAGCCTGGATTTTTCCTGGCCGGACTTTGCCTGGTTAGATGGAACAAGAGAAACAAGGGGGATTCAGAGGGGGACTATCAACATCTCCTGCCAAGGTTTTGTTTATACTGTGTTTTTGCTTGAGTACTGACTAAGCTGTTCAGCATGAACTGTCTCAGAAAAAGGCCGGGATGGAGAAGAAAAGCAGGAAGGTGAAGACAGAAAAAGAATAAAGTTAGGTATGATGAGAGAAAGAAATTCTAAAGAAACAACAGGAAGGAGTGGTGCTAAAAAGAAATGTCCAGATGGAGCCGAACACAGGAGATTAAGGACGGTTGGGGTCAGAAGGAGTACAGGTCAACGCAGAACAGAGGACTTAAGAAATCTGAGAGCATTTCCAAAAAAGGAGTGATCATTGCAGAGGGAGGGCAAAGACTTCCTTTTCCTCTTCCTTTTTATATTTGGTCTGTTAACAGGAAATTGTGTATAGAGTAATCAGTATGTTTTAAATTCTTGAGAAACAACTCCAAATTTAAGTAATAGGCAGCCTGTGCAAGTGATAGCATATTATTTTGTTTGGTTTCTTTGATTAATTAGTTTCACTATAAATACATTGGAAAACTGCTCTGTCCTGTCCTATCCTGTCCTGAATACAAAACTTGCTCTACTGTTGATGAAGCTGCGGTACATCAGTCTCTGCGGGGCAGGGCTGTCCATATCAGCTGGAGTTAAGATCATTACAATTGTCAAAAAAATGTTTATTGTTTCAACACTGACATATTTTTCACACTAAGACTGGTGTGCATAAGTGAGATCTTTGAGCCTCACAATAATCAACACATCTGTCTGAGTTTTTCTCAAGCGGCCATTAAAAAAAACAGAGCAGATTTTGATAGATACATTTAAATTATTCATATATGTGGTTTTAATAGAGTTTAATTGGCATTAAGCACTTTGTCAACATTTGAGGATTGTGATGGCAAGGAAACAAATTTATTACACTGTTGTTTCATCGCGTTTCAGGAGATAAAAGTTGATGTGGGGAAAGATGTGATTCCTTTATCGTTAATTTTGTCAGGAACACTGATGACTTATACATTATCTGTTGACCAACTGGGCTAACAACCTTTAGCTTATATATTTTCCTCCCTGATTTAGCAATCTTATCAGCTGTTATTTGTTACACTGTAGTGAGGTGCAATTTATTAATGATTTATTGACAAATCGGTTAAGTGACTCATGATTACCTTACATTAACGAGACTGAAAACTACAGTTCTAATCTATCTCAATCTTTTTAACATTTCTACAGCTAATTTTAAGTAGAGCAGGAGCACCTGGCTCCTTTGACTTTTTTTTTCATTCCATTAGGGTTTAAATAAAAGTGTGGAAACACCAACACACCATTGGCCTCACTGTAGTGGAATGTACTTTGCTGCCATACAGGGGCATAACTGGGGCGACGATTAGCCTTGAGGTTAAAGAAGTGGCCTTTTGACTGGAGAGACGCCAGTTTGAACCCTTAGACTCTCTGAAAATATGAATGGGGAAGATGATGTAACACCGTCTCCTCCTTTAACAGCGACCACTGTGCTGTTGAGCAAGGTTAGGAGGGTGTAGGCCTCACTGCTCCAGCGGCTCCAGTAGACAGCGGACTTCATTAACACCCAAAAGCCAAAATTCAGGAAACATATTACTCTGTTCAACATGAAGTTCTCAAAATAAGCTTTCACTTGTGGCTCAAGACGGAAGGATACAATGTTGCACACTTGAAAACAATGGACAGAGAAGAAATATTTTTTTCTACCAATGTACAATACCATAACATATAGGGCCCCTGATGTGTAACTTCTGAGTCACCATACAAAGTCACGTCATATAGTTCAAGGCCCAAATATGAACCTGTCAGGCTGAACTGAAGTAGCCATGTCCAAGCCTCAAGACTCAAATAGTTGAAATGGCCTTTCAGTCTGATTATCAGGCTAGAGATAATGTTACTGTTAGTAAAGTCACTAAGATAGGACACTGATTAAGGCATTTGAGTGACGTAGTGGAAAAAAGCTTTCATCCGCTGCTGCAAAGGCCTGACTTCAATTTCTGGCAGTGGTGCTACTGGGTTGGCCAAGTGCCCCAATATGTTTGCTTCTAACATTCAACCGACAAAGCCCTGCTAGTGGCTGTAGAAATTTAGACAGAAGCAAAGGAGTCAGGTGACGATATAAAGGGACAACGTCTGCACACCTAACCAAACCATAACCATAGCATTGTCACATCATAAAACTGATTTATATTTCCAGATTCGTTTTGGAAGTCACACAGAAATTCTGCCATCCTGCTGATAATGCTGTCAGATCACAAAACACTTCTATGTGTTATTCTAGAGGGCATGGACAAGCTACGTACTTTGTCGTTTAATTCGGAGGATTTGTTGTAACTGGCAGTGTTAGCGGGTGGGGTGGAAAGTCAGTGAGGGATTATGTCGCAGCAATAGTGACTCCTAATGGCTGCATTATCTCATGCAGTCTCATTCGTACTCCCTTTACAGGCGAAGACTCACCACAAGGTTAACTAGAAGCTGCTTTGTTTCTGTTTGCCACCGAGATCAATAATGAACTTTATATATATATATATATAATATATGTTGGTCCCTTGCATCCAACAGTTATATTTCACATGGTATGATGTTCTTGTATAGGGTATAAATACAAGCTTTCATACTCCAAAGGTACAATACTGCTCCAGTTTATTCTAAGAGCACAAGAGATTTCTTCAGTGACCCTAACAGGAGCACCTTTTCCCAAGAGCAGCTCAATTGTACTATTACAGACATTGTTTCAACGCTTGAATGTCACACATTTCAAGTTAAATTTAATTTTGACCATAACTGTGTCTTACAATAGATATCTTTCCAAAGATGAAAAGGGAATCTAATTTTAATTTGTTTTGTAGGCATGCATGGTGTCAGGGTTTGGTGAATGCAAGCAGGAGAGAGCCCAAACGCAACACACCGGAGCAGAGATACAGTTCAGGGATTTTATTCACACTTACTGAAACACAGGGCGTACACAGAAAGGTGCAGACAAAGTCCAGAATAAAGCTGAATCCATACAGCATACGAACTAGGGCCAAAATAGGCAGTTAATTTAGAAACCCACAGAACACATACGCAGGATACTTACCAATCAGCAACACATGACAGAGCATATACACACTACCAAACATTTATACACAGGGACTAACGAGCAGGGCGGGAGCATCACAGTGACAGGGATCAGGACTAACGAGACAGACAGGCAGAGAGACAGCAGGGGAAAACAGAGAGCCTGGAAGGCAGGCAGATTACTGGTTGGGAACAGACAACACAAGTTACTGGCACTAAACATATATAAATGACAAACTAATACATACACAAGCAGACAGATCACCAATAACTACAACCAACAGGGAAAACAGACCGAAGCCGGGATTAAACAGAACTCAGAGCAGACATGGGCAAAACAACACACAAGTACACAGACCAGAAGTGAACACTAAGACATGAACTAAGGCACAGGACTAGGAACTAAGATAAGAGACAAGACAAATACTAAGTAAACTTAAACATGCGGATGAATAAAATAATAAACAAGGCTACACAGAGACTAAAGCAGAATGATCAAAATCAGATTAACTAAAGAAAATGGCAGAGAACATAAATTGACACCTAGAAAACAGACATAACTCAAGCATGATGGTACAGAAACTATTACATGAGACAGGAACAGAACTGAACAAGAACTAAGGCAGACACCGAGATGACAGAACAGATCAGAACCACCACACAGAACAAGCAGAAGACAGAACAACATAGACCAACTGCACACGACATAAACAGACAAGACCAAATCTAAAAGCAAACACACACCAAGAAGACTGGATACAAGACCACAGACAGACAGCATTGAAAACCAAAACCCAACAGACTATATAACAGATACCTACCTGACCAAAAACTCACAGAGTGCTAAACTTAAATATAGCCAACAGGCAGAATGTGACACATGGTTTGTATGAAATGTCAGGAATAAACACCTTTTCAAAATTCACAATGCTTAAAAATAAATCTTAAAATGAAGGAGGACAAGTGAGAGGAGTTGTGAAATGTGAGAAAATAGTTTTGTAGCATTTAAAGACCTGCTGAGAATAACAGCCTGGTTAAGAGAGTTGTAGTTGTAGAACTAGTAAATGCCAAAGGGAAGCTTGTCCTGCTGAGTATGTTGCTCTGAACTACATTTAAACAACAACAATTCAGCTTCTTATTGTAAGGGTGCAGGCATAATTGACTGCAACAGCAATGGTAGGCTGCTTTGGTTTGTATGCAGCAGGATGATATCTGGTCCAAGGTCATTAAGTGATGCCACAAAAGGCTGAAGTCAAGAAATAATTGCCCTAGGTGAAAGGCTGGGAAAGTAAATTGGACCCTGACCTGCTGAATAAGTGCAGCGCAGAAATCAATGGGTATAAATTAATTTCGATGACCTGGTCGTGAAGTAGAAAGACCCTCTGGAATTCTGCTGCACTGTTTGAGTTAGCCAGAGTTGGTGTTACACAAGCCTTAATGCAGGTAAAAATAATGTTGTAGCAAATTATGGACCAAATTCGTTGTAATTTTGGCACTGTCAGATTGCCTTCACAAGTGGTT